ATAACAAATGGACTGGTGCACTGCTCCGGAATCAAACAGAAACTCGTTAATCTTCCCCCCAGACTGCGACGAAGCCACGACAAACAGTTCCGGCTGGTAAAAACAAGAACAAAGTACAGAAGCTCCTCATTCCTGCCGAAGACAATAGGGGACTGGAACAAGCTTCCAAAAGCAACAGTTGAGGCGGCTACACTCGATACATTTGTGTCTATTGCCTCCTGTATTCCAACCCCCAGTTCATAACACCACTGCTGAGTCGCCCTTGCAACCAGTGAAGTATCCCATTGAAACCCATGGACAGTAACATCGCAAACCCCTCTGAAACATAGGAGCCAGAATGATCAATTCATTGATCGTGGGCCCTTAAAATAAAGAAGAAGAAGAGTCACTTAATTGTTATTGCTTTAGCGGTATCTAATTTGCAATTGGAATATTAAGTGCTATGTGAGGGAAATTTTGATTGCAAATATTAATTTTGCTGGTGCAGGAGATCAATGGTTTGCATTAAAAATTGATTTGATCAAATAATTTCTTTGAGAGATTTTTTTTTCTTAATAATTTATATTTTTAGCTTGCAAACGTTCAAAATTTTTAAGCCAGATCTTAATGTAATGAAGTAGCCTCCATCTCACTTTAATTTAAATTAGATATTTGAACGTTTAAAAAGTGTAGATGATTATTACTCATGTCCTTTTAGTTGTGCTATATTAATCATCCCAATGTAAAACAGAAGACACTCGCCAACATTACAGAAAATCATATATGCATGGCAAAAATTGGTTGAATTCTACAATATACATAAATTTAACTTAATATAAAATATAATTCAGTCTTGTAATCAATCAAAATTAATATGATAAAATACTTGCATATACATCCGAATATTGATTGATGAGAAATAAGTTCCTCAAAACTTTGTCGCTATTTGCATCAGAGACCTTTAAAAACTTAACCCTTATTGTACTGACCTACTTTGTGCTTTTATTGTCTCAGTACCGGCCATTAATTGGCTAATTATTCCCTGTGGCCCAGACATTATTTTGGAATGAGTCAAAATTTGATAGGATTGTTAATTTATTTTGTAACTTTTTTGTTTTAAACAATTGATAATAACATGTAGAAAATTATCTGTTCAGAAATGGATAAAGGTGTTAAAAAAAACACTTATAATCCCAATTAAAGCTCAATAATATTTTCAGAACAAAAGGTTTTATCAAGTGGGCGTAAGTCGCCATCAACAATAGAGATTAGGTAGCGCCATGGAAACAACAAATACAGATCCGTTAAAAAAACTCAGTAATTGGTCGATTTTCATAATTTAAAAGGTAAATTAAAATTCGACTATTCCCCTAACGAATAAACATTCTGCCTGAGACTGATGAAAGGTTATATCCTCATTTCCTAGTTTATATTAGATACCCCTCTAAGTCATCATGAACAATAGTCAATAGCGCTGGTAGCGCCATGGAAACAACAAATACAGATCCACATAAAAAAACTCAGTAATTGGTCGATTTTCATAATTTAAAAGGCAAATTAAAATTTGACTATTCCCCTAACGAATAAACATTCTGCCCGAGACTGGGGTGAAAGGTTATAATCCTCGTTTCTGTGTTTTTATTAGATACCCCTCTATGTGGCAAATAGACGCGCTTGGACCACAGGGAAAACGATTGGCTGGTGAAAAAAGACGCGCTTGTGTCACAGGGAAAAATTAGGTCATTGCAAAAAGACGCGCCGGGTACTGTAAGGGTTAAAAGATAAACCTTCTTTGCCAGGTAGTTCTTAGATCTGTTTTACAGGACCATATACAACAGGGATATTTGTAATCTTTTAAATTCTCTTCATTTAGTAGTAGTTTCAATAATGTCTAACCCCAAAAAGCCACTGAACTGCATAATTTGAAATTCACATATACTGGCACTGGGTAGGTAAAAAGTTACATGAACAATTATAGTTTTTTTCCACTTCGTTAGACAAACAAATTAATACAGGTATCTCTACCTCAGCCCTGAAGTGTTGAGCATAGGATCCATGGTATTTGAAATATCAATAGGTATACCCATTTGCATTATGAAATTACAAAATTCAATTTTTATGTCACGCCCAGTTCCGGGAGTTCTCGAAATCTGTAAAACAACACCATTGGTGTCTCCTGGAATAAAAAAAATTATAAGAGTTTGGGCTTTGTACTATCTGTGTTATTCTGTGGGTGCACTTAATGACAGAGTTTGGTTGTATTTCATTAACTCAATTTATTGAATGTTAGCAATAAAAGACAGATATAGGGTTTTTAATGTCAGCCCTATTGTATAATAATTGAAGGACTGCATTCAAGCTATGTTCATGAAATAGTAAAAGAAGGTATGTTGAAGCTTGAATCAAAAGACAGGACAATAAGATGTGAACATTTGGCTTAGAGCCTTCTTCAGCAAACAGGACAAATAGAAGTACAACAAGAAACAGCGCACAGTTTAAAAAAAACTTAGAAAAAACAAAGGAGATGATCTCCAAGTTTTTTTACTGTGCTCTGCTTCTTGGCGTACTTCTATTTGTCCTGTTCGCTGAAGACGGCTCTTAGTCAAAATGTTCACATCTTATTGTCCTGTCTTTTGATTCAAGCTTCAACATACCTTGTTTTACTATTTCAGCCTTATTATATCAGCATAAAATTATGAAAATAAATGGTTAATATCCATTTCAACATTATGAGGTAAAAATTATATATAATATATATATATATATATATATATATATATATATATATATATATAATATATATATATATATGTGTATGGCAAATAGCCATTTCGCAAAAAGCCAACCTAAACAAGCATTATTATATCTAAATCT